GGGTGGGTGGGGGGGTAAGAGGATATGGACGGGCAAGGCCAGAGGAAGAGTGTGGGCGTGTGTGATAATACTTCAAGGATGACCTCGCTGAATTTAATTATCAACCAAACTTATATTTGGAAGAACTTAATTTCCCCTTCCTGGGAGCTTGAACATGATGTTCAATCTGGGTCCCATCTTTATTTATTCATTCATTCAATTACAATAATCTCATTACCTAGAAAGCCCTTCAAATATCCTAGAAAGCCCTTCAAATATAGCTCTCTCCAAAAGCAAGAAAACACTGGTAACATTGATCTACAGCTGCTGCAGTGCATCTGTGTGTTGCCCCACTGATAAGCAGAGTAACAGTCAACAATTGAGCACATGAAGCAGGAAACGCTGCTTCTTCACGGAGTGGGGCCCGTACAGAGGCAGATTACTATTCTTAGAAACACCTTCAGCCTAATGTGACGAGATCTTATCAAATGTTGCCCGCACTCAGGCTAGCTTGTTTAAAAAAGGATCAAACTGATGATGTTATCCTTAAGTGAACAAATCCCAAGAAAAGACCAAACAGTGAATGTGTCATGTTTTTTTTGTTTTGTGTATCAAAGCCTGAAATATCTTCTTCCTCAAAAATTATTAAAAACATACATGAGCTACACCTTGGGTCTGGGTGACATGTTCCTTTATTACCATGAACTGTAATTTACTTCAAATCATGCCAATGTGAGCAGAATCTGACAAATGTTTTTAGCAAATCCTCACAGCTGACTTCAGTGGCATTGTAATTGAGTATCTGGGCCCTAATTCCTGTCTCTTCTTCCTCACTTCCTGTTTATCCTGCTGCCCCCAATATTCTCGAGAGCACCAAATGTGGATTAATCCGCCACAGAAAACAGTCCCGAAAAAATACACTATTTACTTTAAAACAATATATTTTAACTTAAGGTTGCAAAATATATTTTATATGAAAAACACCATCACAAGCTAAAATGATCAGGGGAAAAACCATAATGCTTAATCCCTAGGTACCAGGTTTTAAACATTTGCAACACGAGTGCAAGTAACATGTTTGATTTGTAAGAAAAGGTTTAAACTTTATTTACATTTCCCCCAATGTAACCAGTCCATCACCACCATAACCTTTATCCATCTGTATTTTATTTAATTAGTACAAAAAGAAAGTGGCATGTTTTCACTAGCTAGACATTTTCTAAACAAAATCAAGGCTTGTTTATGTGAGGAATCACAGCTGGATCAGAATGTAAAAAGGTACGTTTCTAAACAGTCAAATAAAAACAGCATGTCCAACTTTATCTTCCTGGCATCTGAAACTATTTTTTAAATTTTCTGAATCCCTTTCAGTAGAAATCAGTTGAGACGGATTAACATGTTGTTGTTTTTGATCTTTGCATGGGATTTTCTGACAATAAGATAAATACAGAATAACAGCAACATTATCCTTAAAAGAGACAGTGAAGCCTCACGTTGCTTGTTGTTATAGTCACATTAAAATGTTGAATTCCAGAAAGTGAATGTTTTCTGCCGGGTGAAAAACATTAAAAGGACTCCCCACTTCTACTTCATTTTAAAATTTCCGCACCCACACAAAAAAAAAAAAACCCGGGAGTGCACACAGTTGGTAATAAATACACCTAATTGAATAAGAAAACAGGAAGTGTTGCCCATGACAGCATGAGCAGTAGATGAAGAAGATCAGTGCGCCTTTGTGTGGCATTAAAGTCCATGTGGAACAAAGTCTTTCTTTCTGTTCCTGATCAAAAAGTCCCAGGTCAGCTGGGTGTGGGGGACGCAGCCTCCATCCTTCAGGTCACACAAGAAACCCGCAGGACAGCAGTGCTTGGAGTCAGCGCAGCACTCCGCCTGTCAGGGGAACAAAACCATCAGTTAAAACCAGTTTGATTCTTGTTGGCAAAAACACCACTGATATAGCTGCATATGCCTCTTTTCTAAGCTTGTTGCAGAACTTTACTAGAATGGAAACCCCCTGATCCTCCTTCTTGCTCCTCCTGGATTAAAGACCTGATATTGCTTCTTAAAAACCAGCTGATTTTCAGGTTCATTTTTGTATGTAGTGTCTCTTCTGTGACATGTCTCCTTGCGTTAATAATCAAAAAGCTCTTTATTTCTCTTACACTGCCTGTGCTGCAGCACCTCTTTTCACCCTCTGTCTGAAACCAGAGCCCAGTTTGCTCTGATTGGTTAGCTGGCCGGCTCTGTTGTTATTGGTCAACCGCTTAGAGATGCCCGCCTCTTAGTACAATGTGTGGGAGAGAAACTCACTCTGGAAACAACCTATACAACACACTACAGGAAAGGGCATAATAGGGCCTCTTTGATTTATTGCAAGATTAAGAGATGCACTTCTGCCATAACTTAAATAACTTTGAAGGCTTATTTAATATGTTGAAGGACTTCAACCCTGAATAGCTTTAATTATTTCCATTTAATAATGTATATTTATAGCCAATAGATAGATTGTTGTAATATAAAAATCATATCTGAGTTGCTGCTAGTTTCCCTCCATGCGTGCGGAGAACACATTGTTCCCCAACAGTAATATGTAGACTTGGAACAAACTAAAACAAATGGGACACAGCATGTTTAACGAGGCAGAAAACAGGGAAGCTGCAGAGGTTCTCTGGATCATGTGACCCAATGTTCACTGGTCACATTATCCACACTCCAGAGGCTCGAAACAGACGTGGTCCCACTATAAAAGTATGCTCACTAAATACATTTTTCATACGAAAGAAATGTGCTGTGCACATGTGAGTGCAGTGTGAGCGTACCCTGGCTGAGGGGCAGCAGGCCCACGCTGAGTTGGACACTTTACAGCACGTGTCCTGCTTTGGGCAGTGGAACTCCCCCGTGCTGTCACATGGTACGTTTGCGTCGTCCTCTGGGTGTCTGGGCTCGGACTGTACCACTTTGCTCTGAGGGAGGGTGAGGATGAGCACGTTGTGGTTCTTCTTCTCACATGTTCCAGTCTGCATGTTGCAGGAGTAGCCCTGAGGACAGCAGTGCTCCTGGTCCGCACAGCAAACCGCCTGCAGGGGACAGAAGAAGAAGAATGTATTATCTGATATAGAAATGTAATATTATCGTTATGTTCATAATGCTAGGATTTAGAAAGGCCTGTCATATTTCCAAACTGATTCCTCAAACATGCAGCAAGCCGTTTAGTGGAGAAAGTGAATACTGCTGAATACACATACTTTACAGAGATGCTGTATGCGAAACCAATGTGAATTTGGAAAATTGCACAGTATTTTTCTATTTTAATATACCTCAACTATGGAATTATGATCAGTGGAAATGGCCATGACATGTGACCTTTAAAAAGTAAGGTGTAATACCAATCCTGAAAACCAGTCAATGCTGCGTTCAAATGCTCTTCGGATGGTCCCATTTCCAAAATTGTCTTCAAATGTTGGTGTGTTCATAAGCTCTACATTAATTCATGCCGTGAAACATAAGGGTCCCATCTTATTAAAAAATCCCTGAAGGGACACTGACCCTAGTCTTTTCCTTAAATGGCATCAAAGGTTTTTTTTTTAATTGACCAAAAGGATTACTGTTTAAACACACAGGACTTAACTTTGATGCATTTGTTCGTGCATTTTTAAACCCAATTGAGCTTCACACAGTGAATGAACTATATGCACTAACATCTAATTAACAGCCAATCATAGCTGTGTTTTGGGGTTTTATTGGTTTGACTTTTTTTAAACTTTATTTTGACCAACACTGAAATAGGACTCACAATGATGATTGTTGATAAACAACAATGCTCCTCTTTTTAGATAATCTTTTCCTGCGTGTGCACTGATGAGGATGTTTGTGTTCCAGTCGGTGCTGTTCCCTGCAAGCAGGAAAAGATTATCTAAAAAGAGGAGCATTGTTGTTTATCAACAATCANAACTTTTAAACGTCCTGCCTTGGCTTCAAAAACCATTACCTAAGTTTTATCTTTATTTAATTGGAGAAAGTTCTGACACATCCAGTCATTGATTTGTTCAATGCACTTACTCAGTGTTTGAATTGGAGCATAGTCTCCTGGTGAAATGCTTACATACATTTGTGTGTCACCCGCATAGCTATGGTAACTTATTTTGTTGTTTTTCATTATCTGAGCCAGTGGTAGCATGTAAATGTTAAAGAGAAGAGGCCCCAGGATGGAGCCTTGAGGTACCCCAGATGTCATATTTGTCAACTCAGATTTGTATTGACCTATAGGAACAAAGTTGTTTCTGTGCTTTAAGTAGGATTCAAACCAATTTAGAACTGTTGCCGTAAGTCCCACCCAGTTTTCTAGTCCGTCTAGTAATATGTTGTGGTCAACAGTGTCAAATGCAGCACTGAGATCTAATAATACTAACACTGAAGTTCTGCCACTGTCTGTGTTTAAGTGGATGTCATTGAAGACATCCACTTAAAGAGCAGTCTCAGTGCTGTGGTTTGGACGAAAGCCTGACTGGAACACATCCAAACAGTTATTTAAATGCAAGAAATTACTCAACTGTCGAAAAACTACTTTTTCAATGATTTTACCTAGAAATGGCAGGTTTGATATGGGCCTGTAATTGTTCATTACTGAAGCATCTAGATTATTCTTTTTTAAGAGTGGTTTAATGACTGCAGTTTTCAGGGCCTGTGAAAAAACACCTGAGTGAAGAGACTTGTTAACTGTATGAAGTAGATCTGAGGCCATGCAATGGAAAACATTTTTGAAAAATCCTGTTGGAATAATATCAAGGCAACAGGAGGAGGATTTCAGATGTTGTATAATGTCCTCTAGGTTTTTATCATTAATCTGATGGAATTTTGTCATGATGTCTGAATTGATTTTAGGTGGACATAGGGACAACACATTTGCTGTACCTGATGCAGAGGCACTGACTGCTTGTCTAATTTTCTGAATTGTGTCAGTGAAGAAGGAGGCAAAATCATTGCAGGCCCTGGTGGATAGAAATTCAGAGGCTACTGACACTGGGGGGTTTGTTAGTCTGTCGACAGTAGCAAATAAGGCATGTGCGTTGTTTTTGTTTTTGGCAATGATCTCAGAGAAGAAAGACTGTCGTGCGTTTTTCAATTCCAAATTATAAAGGCCAAGTCTCTCTTTAAAGATTTAAAAATGAATTTTTTTCTGTTCTCACGGTCATGGCCTTTCTCCATGGAGATATTTTCTCGCCAGTCACTTCCTTTATCTTAGTTGGAGCAATGGCATCTATAACATTTTTTATTTTTGAATTAAAATGATCTACTAGCTCATTTACTGAAATGTTAGCAGGGGCAAGTGTGGAAGAAAAATTCCAGTAAACATTTCCCTAGTATTTTCAGTTAAATATCGCTTTGTGGTTACCTCTTTTTTTACATTTT